AAAATAGAAAGAAATTAATTGGACAACTAAAAATATATAGAAAAAAAATTAGCCAGGCATGGTGGCGCATGCCTGTAGTCCCAGCTACTCAGGAGGTTGAGGCAGGAGGATCGCTTGAGCCTAGGAGTTTGAGGTTGCTGTGAGCTAGGATGATGCCACGGTACTCTAGCCCAGGCAACACAGTGAGACTCTGTCTCAAAAAAAAAAAAAAAAAGTCTCATTGTCATAACAAGAGAGATTATATCAGAATCACAGCACCTCAATAGTGAGATCTGCAGATAGTCTTGTGGAGCTAAGAATGGCAGAATAAATATTATTACATATATTTCTCCTTGCCTACCACCTCAGAAAGGTGTAAAAATCAAAGATAGCAAGGTAGTTTGTTATCAACAAGTGCTGACACTCATGTCCTGGTTCAGATAGCTGGTTATTTGCAGCTGTTATTTCTTCTCTTTGCTGGAAAATTTGATAGAATCCTAATACAGTATATGGTAACACTGAGTGGTTGGGTATTGTCAGGATTTGCTCTGGTTCCTAAGACAGAGATTCTGGGGCAAAGGTACTATCTGTCAAGTAGCAAAATTGCCCAGACTAATAGCTTGCCAATGGCATCCCTTTTCTCCTTGCCCATGAGCCAGCCCAGCCACCTTGAGGATCACCTCAGCATCTGACATTACCGGCAGAATGTTGTGACTGGTAAGATTTGAATTGGGGGTCAGAGAGGCGCGCTGCCGAGCGAACACTACCTAGGGAGGAATGGTGGCATAGGAAGACATCTTTGGCACATCAGTTTGTGGAAGGCAAGTTTTTGGAAGGCTACGATCCTACAGTGGAGAATACTTACAGCAAGATAGTGACTCTTGGCAAAGATGAGTTTCACCTACACCTGGTGGACACAGCAGGGCAGGATGAGTACAGCATTCTGCCCTATTCATTCATCATTGGGGTCCATGGTTATGTGCTTGTGTATTCTGTCACCTCTCTGCATAGCTTCCAAGTCATTGAGAGTCTGTACCAAAAGTTACACGAAGGCCATGGGAAAACCCGGCTGCCGGTGGTGCTAGTGGGGAACAAGGCAGATCTCTCTCCAGATAGAGAGGTACAGGCAGTTGAAGGGAAGAAGCTGGCAGAGTCCTGGGGTGCGACATTTATGGAGTCATCTGCTCGAGACAATCAGCTGACTCAAGACATCTTCACCAAAGTCATCCAGGAGATCGCACGTGTGGAGAATTCCTATGGGCAAGAGCGTCGCTGCCATCTCATGTGAGCCCTTGGGCATAGGATAACTGCCTTGTTTCTGTCCCTGGCACTCGCCAGGCTCCAGTGGGGGGCATGCCCTCAGGACTTCATGGGTATGGTTGCCAGCTGTGTTACTGGCCCTCTGGGCACACAGTGTGGTTTCCTCATGTTTGCACACTTTCCTCAGGCTTCAGTGGCCTGGATGTCAATGTTTACAAAGGGGCAAGGATGTCTCATGGGCACTGGCCTCTAGCCCTCTGTTTTTGCTAAATGAATTTTGTTGGAACCTGTGGGATTGGGATATGAGTCCTGGGCATTTTTTATCCAGGGCCCTTCCTCCTGTGTAAGTTTTGGGTGTTGGCTAGGAAAGGGGAGCTGGGGACTCCTGAAGTAGAGCTGGCTTCTGGGGTAACAATGTATATATGCAAATAAACTGAGAAATCTTTAAAAAAAAAAAAAAAGATTTGAATTGGGATATCACTGCATTGAGTTTTAGGCAGTCCCTAAGGAGAGACAAGACCTCCAGCAACTAAAGGGAAATGGGATCCCCAATCCCTCTCTTCTTTTCATGTAGGACATTCTATGCCCTGTCCAGAAGCAAGTCCTGGGCCTAGTCTTCATGATACAACTCCTAAGACTTCTCCAAAGGTAGCTCCAGATGATTTTCATCTGCAAGCTTCATATCTTCAAAGACTGGAATGTCTATCCTATTTTCCTGAAGATTCCAGCATTCCAGACACTTCAGTTTGTGCTTCTATACTTCATGGGTCAAGGACCTCCAGGACCACCAAGCTGCTATGATAGAAATACCTCCTCTTTACAAATGATACCCCAGGTCTCTCCTCCAAAAGAATGCCATGCCAATGAAAATTATTGAGCCCCCAAATCTAGAAGGGCCATGTTTTTTATGTCTTATATTAATACTTTCTATAGAAACTCAAATATATAAATTGTGCCTGTTGTAATGAGCCTTATGGTGAAAGTATCACTTATTTTGAGAGCTAAGTCCCCTAGAGAGCTCAGCTGCTGGAGCTCTGGAGGCCTAGCAAGGCCAGAATTTTCACTCTGCAGGCCTATGACCTACCTGCAGGGGAAACACAAGAAACATGAACCCCATATGTACCCCCTATGCACCCCTACATACCCTCAGGAAATGAGAGGTCTGAAAAGTCTTGGCCAACATGGAGAACCCAAAACTGAGACCATGAAGCATGGAGACTTAGTGGGCTTCCTCTTCTGAATGAATGAGATCCATTCAGACCCATGGAACCAAGTGAACCACTGCTTCTTTGGATTCGGTAAGCAAAGAAACCCAAGAGACTAGAGATTGTGAAGAAGAAAGTGAGGCAGCTTTGGGCAAAACAGGAAGCTCCGTTTTGCTTAGAAGCATTCCAGCATAGTATTTAAGATTGTGGATTCTAAAGCCAAACTTCTATGGTTAAAATTCCCATTTTGCCACTTAATAATCATTTGACCTTGTGCAAGGTATTTAAATACTCTGTGCCCCAGAAATGGAAATAATGATAAATAATAGTAGCTTCTTTCAGGGTTTTTATCAGGATTAAATGAATCAGTGCCTGTAAATATTTTAGAATAATCCTCGGCCCTTACCAAATCCCCAATTAGTGTTATTTATCATTATCATTAGCCATTATAATCATCACTAGCTCTTAGAACTGGGCTATGGCAGTGCCTGCCTACAGATGCTGCTTTCCATGCGAAATCATCACCACTGAACAGATTTGCTAAGGCTGAACTAGTTCCCGGTCCTTGGAGGACTGATAAGCACCTCCTGCGTAGAAGTCACATCCCCATTTTTTGGGTCTCTAACTGATGGAAAGACCCAACTGGACAGTGGAGTCCTCCACTTTATAGTCACCTGCTTCTAAAAGGCATTAAGATGTAAGTAGGGTAGGAAGGGACTCTGGAAATGTTACTGCATCTGAGCTCATTCTCAGCCAGGAACTGCCCAAGGATGAGGAGACTCAGGAAGTGCTGAATTGGGCTTCCTAGTAGAGACCTCCTCTTTGGCACCCAATCCCAGGTTTCGGCCAAGGTTCCCAGTTTACGGGTGTGCATGAGCATTTCTACAGCTGTGGCTCAGCTGCCTACTACAACATGCTCCACCTCACCTGTGGTGAACGACACAGTGGTGACCCCTGATGCTGACATTAGGACTCAATTTCTTCATAGCAACAGCCACAGGCAGACCATGGAATCCCATGACTTTTATGACAACATTTAAGTCTTTCATCAAGCAGAAAGAAAATGATACCAGGTGGAATGTGGAACTGCACAAATAAATGAAAAGCACCAAAAATGGTAACTATGTGGGTAAACATAAAAGATATTCTTCTCATTTTAACAGTCTTCACATGATATTTGACTATTCAAAGCAAAAATAATAGCATATTATGGGATTTATAGACTACATAGGAGTAAAATATATAATAACAACAGTACAAAAGGGGGGAGGGATGAAAGTTTTCTGCTCTAATACATGAAGGGATATGGTATCATTTGAAGATATATTGTGATAAGTATTATGAATTCCAGAGCAACCACTAAAAAAATAAAGAGAAAGAGGTAATGAATCAATAGTTAAGATAAAATAAACTAATAAATAATAGTCAATCCAAGAAAAGGCACGAAAATAATAAAATAGAAACAAAGAACAGATCAGACAAATAGGAAATAAATAGATGGTAGATTTAAACTCAAATATATTGATAATCACGTTAAATGTAAATGGTCTAATCATTCTAATTAAAATTGATAGATTGTCAATCGGATAAAGTATGAGACTACTATATGATGCTTACAAAAAAAACACTTTAAATATAAAGACATAGACTGGTTACAACTAAAAGGATGACAAAAGCCATACCATACAAACACTAATCAGAAAGTAGTAGCAAAGAGCATGGGCTGAGAGTCAAGGTTGAATCTTAGCTCTGGTGCCTAATCAATGTTGAACTTGGACAAGTCACTTAATTTCTATGAATTTAATTTTCTTCCATCTGTTTGAAATGGGGATAAGATATTTATCTCATAGGGTTGTGGTAAAATTTAAATGAGTTAATATAAAGTATATGACTTAGTTCCTGGCACATATTAAGTGCCTAATAAATGCCAGTGTTGTTGAATTGTTATTATTACTGTTTTTAGGTTCATTGTAGAAACCTTAGATGGGACCCTCTGAAATAGTTTGCCAAATAGTCATGGTGCCTGGGAAGTTTCCAATTTGGTCTGGGCCATAGGATTCCAGCCCATGTGCAAAGGACATTTTTATTTTGATGGCTAAAAAACACAATTCAGTCAGCAGTAGAGGTTGCTTAGGCAGTCAGGGTTGCTGAGCTGTGGCGCTCTTGGAAAAGATCAATTGGTCTTATCTTTAAGTGGAGTTGGGGCCATCTGTCATCTCCAAGCTGACTGGAGGCTGGCTTCACTCTGCCCCCAGGGAGAAAGGATGTGCCTCACTTGGCAGGGAGATAGCTGGATAAGCGAGTGAGGAAAGGCAGAAAAGACACCTGGAAGCTGCAGGGCACATTCGCTGTCTGTGGGCAAAAGAGAAAGGAGCATCCGTTTTCCCATTTCCGTTGTGACATTACATAAAGATAATGTAACACAGATGCTCAGGATAAATAATTCAGGAGAAAACAAGAGACATAAAACCCAAGCGCCATGAACAGCAGCCATGATATCCATGGGAGCCGCTCATGTGCGCCCTCATTCTGACAAAGTCTGCATTTGAACTTTATATCCAGATGCGAATCCTTAATAGGAAAGGGAAAAAATAATGATTCCACGGGGCTGGAAGCTGTGTGATGGGTTTGGATGAAACTGCTGCCTCTAGCACCTGTTTCTAAGCACTTTGCCTCTTTCTTTTTTTCTGTGCAACAAACTGCCCTCTCTCCTGTTTCTTCTTCATTACCATCATCCAGCAAGTTCTTAATTATTAGATGTCTTGATGTGTCCTTAGACAACTGAGTGTTGCATCCTTATTTTATTGAATAATAATATTCAATAATTATTCTATTACGATAATAATACTCAGTGATATGTACTGAGTATTCAGCACATGGCCTTGTACTAAGTGGGCCTGCTTTATTGGGTTTAATCTTCACAAACACACTTGGAAGAAGATTCTATTATTTTTCCCATTTTGAAACAGGAGCAAACTGAGTTCAGAGAGGTGAAGTAACTTGCCCAAGGCCATACAGCTAAGAGTAGTAGAGTAATAATTAAAAGCTGGGCAGTCTGACCCTAGAGTCTATTCTCTTAACCACTGCTTCACTATTCCATAAACTATGCAATAGTTAGGAAAATTATTTCAATGCAAGATGACCATGCAGTGTTTGTCTGTTTGTAGAACTATAAGTTAGCAAACTTGCACTAAAGTGATTAAGAACATGGGCCTCGGTGCCAGAATTTCTGGGATTTTTATCCCACTTCCTTTAGTTCCTAACCGTGTTCCCATGGGCAAGTCTCTTACTTCTTTGAGCCTCATGGAACCCTGGGAGGTTTAAATAAAATAATCCATGTAAAGAACATAGAACAGTTCCCAGAATGTACTAAGTGCCCACAGGTAGTAGTGATTAGTGAACAGCTGACAATTAATTAGGCTTTGGTCAGTAGTCGCTTATCAAGAACAGCAGCAGCCAAAGCTCAGCTCCTGCCTTTTCCACTACATATGGGAATCAACTATGTAGTTATCGTGGAGAAGGCTAAACTGAAAGATGATGTGAATAAATTAAAAGAGAAACTCTGTTCTGAACAATCATTTGTAGTTGTGATATTTTAAAGAAAATTATTTGTAGGGTTTTTTTGGGGAGTTAATGTGGGGGTTATTAACAGGTTTACTCCTTCAAGTGATACAGTCACGCCTTCACAGGATGGCAGATGAAATTTTGTAATAAAATGGAGTCTGAAACAAATATGACCATGTGACCACCACAATTCCTGGAAGAATCAGGCTTATCAGGAATGAAGATCCATTGAGGCTGTGGTCCAGGAAATTGCCCACTGGAAGCCTGTGAGAAGATGTATCAGAATTAAGATGCCCATTAGGTCTGAAGAATGGGGTGATGCACAGGCTGATACTGGCCTTTTTTAATAACCATTGGCTTGATCGACTGACATCCCTGAGCTGTGTTTGAGGAGAATGTAATCACCACACTGCATGTGTATAAACCAAGCTGCAATTAATGGTAGAAATGAATCCTTTTTATCATTAAAATTATGAAGGGACTAGAAAAAAGTCATAAAATCAATTGAATTTCACAGCCAAGACCACTGATTGAGGAGGAAATAACACCATTTTAACATTTTCAAACAATAACAAACATCTCTGCTGCATAAAAAAGACCAACACATATCTTGGAAATGTTTGTTTTTACTAATCAAATGATGATAAGATTAATCTTATTTGACAGAAGTCCTCAAACTATAGATT